GCTCAACGATTAATTTTTCCAAACCCCTCCTTTGCCTGACGCTAATCTGCGGTGATTGGTCGATTGGTCTCATTTTCATTTCATCTTGCCTGTGATGCCTGATAAAGCAGCGTTTGTGAGAGCAGCGCTGCTTTGTGTACAGCGTTACCGGGGAAACCGTTATTTTTACTGCTCCAAAAGCGGCACCTAGTGGCAAAGAAGGAATTTGCATTTTCATTCAGACCAACGGGAAAAGACCAACAAGCTTTCTTTTGAGAGACAGTAACTTTATACACGGTGCACTTTCAGATTTAAAACTTTGCAGGATGTTTCATTCACTTAGAGCTATGTTACACACTACTACTGAAAGGTAATTTTCAAAAATCCATAATAGGGGCACTTTAATAATGAACGATCAGGTTGGGGCAAGTTGTCTCAGTGATACTGTGGTACAAATTCAATAGTTTTTTTTTTATTCATTCATATTTTTTTATTATTATTTTAATTTAATATTGTTACATTGTTTTGTAACATTTTAAATATTTGTGCCTTTTTACTTTATATAGTTTTTTTATTCAAAATGATTTAATGTTGTTACCTTATTATGTTTTCATAATTATTTTACTCATTAAATCTTTTAAAATAATTATTTTTATATTATCCTACATATAACACATTTTATATACATAGTGTTTTATATTTTATTAAATGATTTAACCTTTTTTTTTATTATTGTTTTACTCAAATCTTTTAAAATAAATATTTTTATATTATACTACATATAACTCAACATTTTAAAAACAGATATGTTTTAACTTTTTACTTTATATATATATAGTATTTTAAATGGTATTAAATAATGATTTAATATTAATGTTGCATTGTTGTTTTTATAATTATTTCCCTATATCATACTACATACAACACATTTTAAATATATATGTTGTGCTTTTTTATTATATATAGTATTTTGTTTTATTAAATAATTATTTAATATTTCATTACCTTATTGTTTTCATAATTGTTTTACCTATTAAATCTTTCAAAAGAAATGTTATTATATTATGCTCCATATAACTCATTTTAAATAGACATGTTTTGCTTTACATAGTATTTTATTAAATAATGATTTAATACTGTTACCTTATGTTTTTATAATTGTTCTACTTATTGAATCTTTTAAAAGAAAGCTTTTTATGTTATCTTACATATAACAATTAAATACAGATTTATTTTTTTCCTTTTTAATTTATATATTATTTTATATTTCATTACATAATGGTTTAATATTATACTAATTTATTATGTTTTCAGAATTGTATTATTAAATCTTTTTATATTATAGTACATTATACATTGTAACACATTTTAAATACAGATATGGTGTGCCTTTTCAAATAAACAGCAGATTCTTATAGTGACAACTTACCCCACATAGCGTGATGATAACGCTATTATGATATTTAAAGATATTATAATATATTTTAAGTTAATAATTATCTAAAAAAAACAGTGCCACAGAAAACAACTCTTACTGTAGATATTTGACTAGGTTTAAGGTTCTTGTTGATTTTTATTGCACATATCAGCTGAGATTTTTTCTGTGTAGAAATTTTTTCAGTGTAGTTTTTCAGATGGAACTGATATCAGTCCAAACACGTAACAGACTGTCAGTGATCCAGCACAGATCTAATCTGCTGATGTCTGGAGGAGAATTTGTGGTTTAATATCTCTCAATTAAAGTCTTTCTCACACCACAGGACATTGTGATCACAGAGCTGATGAAGAAACTGGATATTCTGGGGGATAACGCCGTAAGTGTATGTTGATTTCATATGTAAATGTGTGTGTTTACACATGCCTGGGTGTGTTTGGTACACATGCGTACTATATCTCTGTCACTGCTGTCTCATCTTTTCATTGGATGACACGAACAGAATCTGACCAACGAGGAGCAAGTTGTGGTTATTCATGCCAGAACAGTATTAACATTAGCCGAGAAGGTATGTCTTCTTAAAAAAATAATAATAATAATATTTCATGCTGAGTTAATGACTGTTTCATGTTTCTGTATTTTGACGTCTCTTGTGTCCAGTGGTTAGAGCAAATTGAAGTCACCAAATCAGCATTACAGCAGAAAATGTTGGACATCGAAAGTGAAAAGGTAAATGTATTTAAATGCATTACACACTTTAATTTCCATAAGTTCTTCTTATTTATTTTACCCCAAAATTTAGAAATAATTTAGAAATAAATTATAATTTTATAAGTAAGAAAATTAAGCATATTATGTGTAATGTTTATAAAATTCCAAACATTTTACTGTTGATTTTTTCATGATTCTTATTAGATTCTCATTACATATATAAATACTTTACAATTTTTATTTTATTTTATTTCTTACAATAAGGTAATGGTAATTTGGACAGTTTGGTATATAATTAATATCATGAATAACTATATATATATATATATATATATATATATATATACAGTGGCCAAGTACAGGGATATCCTGGGCGAAAACCTTCTCCAGAGTGCTCAGGACCTCGGACTGGGCCGAAGGTTTACCTTCCAAGAAGACAATGACCCTAAGCACACAGCTAAAATAACGAAGGAGTGGCTTCACAACGACTCTGTGACTGTTCTTGAATGGCCCAGCCAGATCCCTGACTTAAACCCAATTGAGCATCTCTGGAGAGACCTAAAAATGGCTGTCCACCAACGTTTACCATCCAACCTGATAGAACTGGAGAGGATCTGCAAGGAGGAATGGCAGAGGATTCCCAAATCCAGGTGTGAAAAACTTGTTGGATCTTTCCCAAAAAGACTCATGGCTGTATTAGATCAAATGGGTGCTTCTACTAAATACTGAGCATTTTTCAGTTTTTCTTTTTTAATAAATCTGCAAAGATGTCAACAATTCTGTGTTTTTCTGTCAATATGGGGTGCTGTGTGTACATTAATGAGGAAAAAAAATTAACTTAAATGATTTTAGCAAATGGCTGCAATATAACAAAGAGTGAAAAATTTAAGGGGGTCTGAATACTTTCCGTACCCACTGTATATCCTCTTTTTGAATAAATAGTAATGGTTCTAACAACAGGCTTACATTTTTTTATAGGATTTAAATAATAATAATAATCTCACTCACTAATCTATTCAAAATAACTTTTGTTAATGTGGTGTTTTTACATCAAAATTATTATTTCCTCTTGTCATTTTCCTCCGAAGGAGCTCTTTAGTAAACAAAAAGGATATTTAGACGAGGAATTAGACTACAGAAAGCAGTCTTTGGACCATGCACATAAGGTAAGGACTGTACATGGCCAATAATCCATATGCTTTATTCTCAAGCACTGCGGAGGAGTTTTACTCTATTATGAGATGCAGTTCTGTCCTCCTGTGCCCCCTGGTGGTGAATGCATGTCATCTCTGGCCCACTCCCCTCTGTGTTTCTCTCAGCGCATCCTTGAGTTGGAGGCGATGCTGTTTGACGCTTTGCAGCAGGAGGAGACGGGTGGGAAGTTGTCCGAGCTGCTGAGCGAGCAGGACCGTGGTTCGCTGAGAGAGGCTGTGGATCAGTGGAAGAGGCAGGTCTTGAGTGAATTACGAGAGAGAGATGCGCAGATACTCAGAGAGAGGATGGAACTGCTGCAACATGCTCAAGCGGTATGTACTTCTAGAAAATATAAGTGAAAGAGATCATGCTTATTTCTATAGACATGTACTGATATATATATATATATACTGTATATATATATATAGAGAGAGAGAGAGAGAGATACACAAAATATACACATTTAAAATATATATATATATATATATGCAGAACAGTAATGTTGTTTAATTAATTGTGTCTGTGTGTGTGAAAGGAAATTAGTTTATGATACTGTAATGTGTATACAGGTGCATCTCAATAAATTAGAATGTCGTGGAAAAGTTCATTTATTTCAGTAATTCAACTCAAACTGTGAAACTCGTGTATTAAATAAATTCAATGCACACAGACTCGTGTCTCAACAGAGGATAAAAGAGCTGGAAGAATGGATAGAGGCTCAGAAGCGACAGATAAAGGAACTAGAAGAAAAGGTAATCATATAGAGCACTCATCTATCATTTTATGTCAAGGTCAGCACAATCATCTTCTCCAATAATGCTTTTATCTCAAGTCTAAATGTGATGTTTATTTGATTCTCTCCTCTTTGTTCCGTTGTGTTGTTTTTTGATCAAATAAATGCAGCCTTGATGAGTCTTCCGATGTCACCAGGTTCTAAGTGTAGATGTTGTTTTTGTTTAGCTCACAGGCCTCAAGTGTTCTTCTGTACCAGAGGAGGGTGACACACGTGTCATCAGGGGTCCCAGCCATCTCTTCTGCGCTGATACGAGACTTCAACTCTGTTCACATCAACTCTGGAACATGGACATGGAATACGGTGCTCTCTATCTTGTGAACTAAACCTGTTTTTATCCTCCTGACCTTTTGAACTTTGCTTTGTGTGACCTCTGTGCGTGTGGAATTTAAGGACTCTTAAATTGAAACGCTCTCTCCTTTCCCTGCTAAGCAGGTGGTGCTGGAGGCTGCTTCCCTTTGGAAGCCTGATGGAATGAGAGGTGTTACGTTCAAATCCTTCCTCCCACTGTTTACACTCACTCTGCTTCGGTTCTGGTGGTACAGTGCGTCTGGTGTTTGCGTGGTGGCGCTCGCCCGCTCCTGTGCATTGAGAGAAGTGGAACTGAAAGTTGAATCCTGGAATTAAAATTATGTCTGGTTTTCTAATGTACAGGAGCAGTGTTTCAAATAAATTTCTCAGAGGAAGACTGGAAAACTAAGAGGATGTTTTTGCGTCTTTTTCTGTTCACTGAAAATAAAGCCACACAGAGGATTCTGGGGTGCATACGTGCCTCTGAACAGAAACTCAAGGTAAGGTAAGCTTGATTTGTACATGCTTTGAATATGTTTTTTGTTGTGTGCGTAAAGCAATTAAACATTTACATATTTATTATATATTAGTACTTCTGTCATTACAGTACAGACAGTAGTTAAAAGTTATTTTTCTAGATTTCTTTCAAGACTAAGGGTCGGGTAAATAGAAATACATAGGCTGTATATAGTAATACTCTAAAATAATGAATAGCAATAATACACATTTTTAAATAGTAATACTATATATGGTATATAGTACTTTTTATATATAGTACCTTTGTTTAATATATTAATAATAATACATATACTGTATATATATATATATATATATGTGTGTGTGTATATATATATTAATGTTTTAATATTGTTTATAATAATAATATATAATATTTGTTATATATTTAAATTTATATATACTAAACATATGTAGATCTTATAAATATGTGTATTATCATCATCATCATCATCATCATTATTTTTATTTGTTGAACGCAAATTCAGTTTATCTGTTTGTCCAAGAGGTTTTATTTTAAAAGGACTCAGATGGTTTTTAATGTCAGCAACAGTTCTGTCAGTAGAGGGCGCTACAGAGCAGTTTATAATTTACAATTATAAGGGTTTTTGACAAATTTGCAACACTATTTTGTAAAGTCCGAGTTGTCAGAATTTCTAGAGAAATAGTTTAGTGTCTAGCAGTACATATTAAGAGGTTACTAAAGAAGTTTTAAAGCAATAGTGAGCTGAGTGTTTTTTAAGAGGACAGTTTTTCTAAACTAATAGAAATTCATCATGTTATGAACCTGCCATGTTGCTGAGCTCATATACTTTCCTGTCTGGTAAAATTCAGCTCTGGCATGGACAAGAGAGATAGAAAAGAGGAGAGGAGACAGTGGTAAAATCTAGGTTTTCCGCCTCCGGCTGCTTCTTCCATCTCACTCTGTTACATCTTGCAACTAAGAAATGCCACAGCCTTACAATCAAAGAGAAACCCAGGAAGCGGAAGGCTCCGGAATATGGGCTGCAGCTCACAGATACCCAGGAGTCCTTTGTGTTTTCAGAAATAAGGAAATGAAAATAGATGTATTTTACGATCACTGCCTTTGAATGTTCTGCTTAACTATAAAACATGCAGGAAAACCCATTTTTGCTACATGATGTGAATTTAAAAAGAGCATTTGATATGGAAATAAACAGCAAAATTTAGTTTATTCACACGCACTCTCCTACTAAAACTGGTTATGAATGTATGATTGATTGTGTCTGTTTTCACAGTTTCATTGCACAGTAGTTGACGATATTTTATAGATCTGTTTAGATACCATGCGTGTAAGAAGTGGTGAGATCGTCTCTCTGGTCAGGTATGAATGGAAATGAATCATGTATTTGTTATATTAGATGAAATGCAAGCCCTCTTTCCTCAGGCTATTGTTAGACTGCAGCTATTGTGCTTTTATATGATCCATTCCGGCTGTAAAGTGTTTTAACGCATTCACTCCCAGAGGCATTCAGCATATGGGGCAGGAGTCCTCTCCTTTGGGCACATCTTCAAGCCTCCAGATGGACTTTCCCAGATCTCCACATGCACAGATGAGACCAGACACACTGTAAACGACATCTGCAAGCACTTGGTCTATTTAGCATCTGTCTGTTTAGCATGAAATTGCAATACTTTTTCCTAGTACAACCTATAATCACTGATGGATTAGATTAATATATATATACATACATATATATATATATATATATATATTTATTTTAAAATATATATTTTTTAAGGCGTTGCTTATCATAACAATAGTTTTGCATTATACCCTCTATCTGCATTATGCTATAAACAGTAGACAAGCAGTGATCAATGATATTTGAGGGGAACTTATGCACTGTAAAAAATGATTGTGATTTTAACAGTAAAAAAATGTAAAAATGCTACAGTAAAAACCTGTTAATTGGTTATCAGTAAGTTTCCATGCTATATACGGTGAATAACTGTAATTACATTTAATATAATTTTACAGTAAAATACTGTTAAAATTAGGGTCTTTGGAAGTGAAAAAGAAAGTCATTATATAATTTAGTGAAAAAACGTAAATTGACGCTCCCAGAATTCCGTGCATGACACTTCATATTTTGTTTTTTCGTTGAAATAACGGTTTCTTATTCCTAATCCAGTGAGTGGAGGATTTCAGCACCACGCCTCTCTGGACAGCTCCTATAACAGCACCTGTCTCTCTCTCTCAGTGGAAGTGTGTCTCTGGAATACCAGCTCAAAGATTCCTCAAACAGGCTTCCCATTTCTCCTGTGAGCCATGGCTGAGAGAAGACTCCTTCCCCAGGAGGATGACCAGGGTTCCCTGCTGTCCAGACTGGGCACCGACAGTCCTAAACCCCGGGTGAAGTTCGGAGGGATGTTCTGCAACATCGAAGGAGCTTTCGAGAACAAGACCTTGAATTTTGAGTCGTACAGCCCCAGTTCTGCCAGGAGAAACCCTCGGGGACGAGTGGACGATCAGAGGGACAATTTCAGCGACACGTCGAGCATGAGTGACTTCAGCAGCGTGAGTCAAACGCAGCCCACCCCGTCCTGCAGCTCACAGGGTCAGACCCTCGTTTACCCCACCGGACCCGGTCGCGCGCAGAACGGGCGACGAGAGGTAATCACTGCAGTTGCAACTATTCTTGTGTGCTAAAGTGTATAGATCATACAACTCTCATTACAGTTTAAAGTATGCTAAGTTGGTAGCTGTTTAATTCCGGTTTACATGTTTGTGTCAAAGCTTTATAAAAAAGCAAACTTGTCATAAAAAGATCACAGGAGGCTCAGACACGTTAGTTGTGATTAGTGTGGAAAAACAGTATATGGATTTTGTG